TTGTTATGGCAGCCTTAGCACACAAACACACGAGGTAACGCATTTTGGGGACAACCTGGGAAAGCAGGAAGAACACACAGGATTGGCTGTGTGGCTTCGGGCAAGTTTCTTTTCCTCTCCGAATCTTAATTCCTCGTATATAAATCGGAACTAGTCAGGTACATCATTTTGGGTTGTCATGAGGATTAAATAAGTTGACACACACGAAGGGCCTGATACCAAGCAGATGCCACTGACCCGCTCGCTACTGGACCCTCAGCTCCTTGCAGGGCAAGACTCTGCCATGTAGCTTTGTCCCCGGTGGTACCTGGGAGCTCCAGGAACATCACAGGCAAATCTTTAATGTATGTTGATTTAATCAATGACAGTTTGGGCACTGATTAAACCACTTTTATTTGAGCGTCTGTTCTGTACCAGATCCTGTGGGTACAGCTGTGAACACTGTAATTATGACCTCCGCCTTCAAGCTTGTATTCTAATGGAGAAAGAGAAATAATAATCAAGGAAGGAACTAAGTCACCAATATGATTTCAGACGGTCGTAAGTGCTGTGATGGCAATCAGTTGAGCGCTGTGACGAGTAACTGGTGGGGGTCATGACTTGGCATAGCATTGCCAGGGAATTATCTGAAGATGTGATTTTTTGTTTTGTTTACTGATAGGGGTGTGCTCTATTTGTGTCTTAGATTCCTCTGGAGCTCTTAGGAAGAGATTTTCCAAAGCGATGAACAACTCTCGGTGCCGTCTTTTCTTGACTCACCTGTAGTTTCATTCTCTGGAAACTCAGTACATCTTAAAGACCATGCTGTACATGTAAAGCAGTCAGGTTCCAGGCCGGAAAAGCCACCATCAGGGTTTCTACCCACGTGAACGTCCAGTGGGAGCACCCGACATTGGGGAGGGGGCCGGGCCGTTCTTTGCTGTGCAGGGGGATCCTAGTCACTGTGCGATGTTTAGCATGTCTGGCCCCCACCAACTAAATCCCAGTAGAACTCTTCGATCATTGTCATAATCATCCCCAAATATCCAAAACATGCTTCAAAGCAGTGGCCCCATCCTTTTTGGCACTAGGGACCGGAGCTCCTATGAGAATCTAATGCCTGATGATCTGAGGCGGAGCTGAGGCGGTGATGCCGGCTCCGGGAATGGCTGCAGATACGGATGAAGCTTCGCTCGCTCGCCTGCCACTCACCTCCTTCTGTGAGGCCCGGTTCCTAATAGGCCACGGACCGGTACTGGACCCCTGCTTTAAAGGGCGGCCCAGCCCCCAGTGAGAGTCATGTGTTCGAGGGTCTCCAGTGACCTCCCGATCTTGTCATCCGGCCGCCATGCTCTGTCTCAGAACCTCTGACACTGTTAGCCAGGCCTCCTCGATCCCATCTCGACTGCACCTGCTTATTCCATGCCCAGTTGGTTGCTGTATTCTGTCCATTCTAAGGAGGTGATTGGAGCTGAATATTCAAGAGCAGGTCATGCGGGGGTCAGAGTGGCTGTGATGAAGTTCAGTGCCCTGGGCGGGGCACATTGAGCCCACTCTTCTGATCTTTCATTGTATTAAAAAAATTCTTTGCACTAGCTTAATTTTTCGAGATCCTGGGCATATTGCCCTGAGCTAATTTGTTTGCCCCAAATTAATTACCAGCAGGGGGTGGCAGCCTCATTTTCACAGAAGCTTTCTCTTTTGGAAGGATGGCCTTTTTATTCACACGGTCCGATTTCGGTTCTTTGGCACAAAGTCACAAAAGTGTAAAGGGTGCCTTGACATTTCCATAAAGACATTTAAATGCTAGCATCTCTGAAGAAACAGTTTTAGAATATGAAACCTTTACCTTTTTTCCTCCCAAGGAAGAAAAACATCACCCGCGTAATTATCTCTGTAAAATAACTCATTTGCTTTTCATGTTGCTAGTGGAAAAAGATAATGATACTGTTTCCAAAAAAATGAAAGTGATTATGGACGATTTCATGATTGCCTGTTCTTTTTGTCTATGTAAATAACACTTCAATTCAGAGGCCAAAGATGCCTGTAGGGTTATATACGATCCTTCCAGGTTGATTTTTAAAAGATCTGCTGGGAGAGCAAATACTGAAAAGATGCTGCTTGGGACTGTTTCTCCTCACTGAGAAGAAGCCAGAAAATAAAATAAATGCTTATATATATATATACATATACATAAGAAAATTGTGATAAAAATCACATAACACGAAATCTGCCCCGTTAACACTTTTTAAAGCTTACCGTACAGTGCTGTGACTGAATGCACGTTGTCATACTGCAGGTCTTCAGGGCAGCTCCCCATTTGTCCGTCCCCCAGCCCTGGCTCCTACCACTTTTTACTCTGCTGCTATGAGTTCAACTACTTTAGATGCCTCACATCAGAGAATCGTGAAGCATTTGTGCTGTGACTGGCTGATTTCACTTGCGGTGCGGCCTTGAGGTTCACCCACGTTATAGCGTATGACAAGGGTTCCTTCTTCTTTAAGATGGAGTGGTATTCCATTGAGTGTGTATACTACATTTTTTAATTCATTTACCTGTTGATGGACATTTATGTTGTTTCCTCCTCTTGGCTGTTGTGAATAGCGCTGCAGTAGACATGGGAGCGCAGGTATGTCTTCGAGATCCTGGTTTCGGGAAAGATACCCGGACGTGGGATTGTAGATTATATGGTATTTCTATTTGTAATTTTTTGAGGACCCTCCATACTGTTTTCCATAGCAGCTGCACCATTTTTACATTCTCACCGACAGTGTACAAGGGTTCCAGTTTCTCCACATCCTCCCCAACACTTTTTAAATATATATATACATATGTTTGTATATATGTTTGTATATATCCACACTTATTTATAATGGCTGTTCTAACATGTGTGAGGAAACATCTCATTGTGGTTTCGATGCGCCTTTCCCAGATGGTTAGCGATGCCGAGCATCAGTTTGTATTCCTGTTCGCCATTCGTATTATCTTAAAGCAGTCACAGAAATCAACTCAAAATGGATTAAAAACTTAAATATAAGAAACCTGAAACGGTAAAGCTCCTGTAAGAAAACATAGGGGGAAAGCTTCATAACATTGGTCTTGGCAGTGATTTCTTGGACATGAAATCAGAAGCACAGGCAACAAAAGCAAAAATAGACAAGTGAGACTCCGTCACACTAGAAAGCTTCTGCGCGGCCAAGGAAGCAGTCAGCAGAGTACTAGGCAGCCTTTTACTGGAATGGGAGAAAATGTTTGAAAACCATGAATTAGATAAACGGTTCATATCCAAACCTTTTGCAAAAAGGAAGATTTTCTGTTGAATCTAGGAGTCAGGCAACTCGTTCTGCAAGGGGCCAGAGAGTAAAGATTTGGGGCTTTGCAAGCCATGTGGTTCCCGTGGTAACGACTCTCTCTGCTGTTGTTATGTGAATGCAGCCACGGGTGGGCTTGGCTGCGTCCCAGTAAAAATTTATACGCCCAATTCAGCCCGCGGGCCACGGTTTGCCGCTTTAGTCTAGGGCGGGTCTAGGGCAGGGTTCCTCGGCTGGTGCTGGATGCGTGTTGAGGGAGCGGTCTCGTGCATCGGTCTCGTGCATCGTAGGTGGTTAGCAGCATCCGTCTGCGAGGTAGCAGTAGCAGCTCCTTCCCCTCCACTCTAGTTATGACAATCAAAAATATCTCCAAACACTGCCGGATGTCCTCTGGGGGACACAGCTGCTGTTAGTCGAGAAACTCGGATCTAGATGTTGAAAATCATATGACGAAGACTCATAGGAAATATTTCCACAAAACTACAAAAAGGTGAGCTGGAAGCATCGCAAACCATGGTCTATCTGCCTTAGGTAGGTCAAGGTCTCCTCAAAGGAGTCGTTATGGCCACCTCAATTTGGAAAGCAGTTTAGAAACGGCTTGACATGGCAAGTACGGGAAAAGTGCTCCGCTCATAATGCCAATGTGAGCTTAACCTACTTTTGTGATAGGCACAAAAAAAAAAACAGAACATTTTAGCACATTATCAGGTTCCAGTGGGACTTTGTGAGTTTGAGGGTTGGCTACGAGTTGGAAAGCTGGGAAAAAGCTAGCAGTTCTGGTTCCCACTTGAGCAAGCGTTTATTTTCTCGGCTTATCTGAACTCAGAAACAACACAGGCAGGGTGACTTTCGCAAGCACTCACATGTTTCTTGTTGTCTGGACAGGGCCAGACCAAAATGGCCCCGTTTCATTGCAAATTGGCAGTAACACATGTTTTTGAAAGTTAAAAACAGGGTAACATTCGCGAGTGACTCTGAGAATGTTGTCTTCTTGTCCGTTAGAATAAACACCTGTTTTGCAATTAGGAGCGTGAAAAACATCTTTAATGAAGGGATCGTCGAGTATCTTTTTCTTTATCGCTATTATTATGTTTTTAATAATTAAAAACTTTGCACTTAAAGTGTTATAATGCAGATAATCATAACTTTAAACAAACAAAAAAAGATAAGCCTACCTTTCCTCGGGAATTTCAGTTAAGCCTTTTTAAGCCGAGTTTTTTTTTTTTTCCTTGACTTGAAAAGCAAAGAAAATATTATTGATCTTTTTCCCTTGAATAAACTTCTCTTTAGTTAGATACGTTTTTCTAATTGATTGGAGGAAAATCGGTATCCTTGGGTGGAGCCACGAGTCCCACGCCGTAAGTTCTGCTGCTATTATTGCCTCCTGTGGTCTCAGCAGACACACTTGGTGACCTGCCTCTCTGGTCATCGCTACCACTGAACACAACGTCATAAGGAGAACCCCTGGTGGATAAGGGGGAGAATGTCTGTGATACTTGGGATCACGAAAGAGGGCGATAAGAACAGACTCTTCCTGGCCTTCCTAGACACCCACATTTCAGTTCTCTCTCAGGAGACCCAGCTCCTTAAGTCCTGTCTGTCTATGTCACACTTCCCAGTGAATACTCAGCCGCCCTCTTGGCAGACTGGTCCAGTGTGGGTTTGAATGAGATGTGTTTGGTGGCACTCTTTTCTCTCTCTGTCCCTCAGGTTACCACGGCCTGTACTGTGAGGAGGAATACAACGAGTGTCTCTCTGCTCCGTGCCTGAACGCTGCCACCTGTCGGGACCTTGTCAACGGCTATGAGTGTGTATGCCTGGCAGAATATAAAGGTGAGTGGCTCTTTGGCCTTTTTGTGCCTGCGTTGGCTCTAAATGACATCTCTGCTTAAATGCATAAATCTCTGATTGGAGCACGAGATCATCTAGAATAAAAATCAAGTGCTGGTGGTGGGATGATTTATGGGGCCAAAGAGACCAGTTTGCACGTCTCAGGTTTCCTCCCGATAAAGTAGAAAACCTCCCTCCTGCCTTTTCCTTCCTGTACACGCGCTCTCTTTTCTGTTGTGTAGAACACCGAGGACTAAGAGTGATAGTAAGTGGACCGTCAGACATAGATCAGAGGAAACGGCGGGACAGGGAAGTGTACCGGGAGGCGCTTGCTGGGCAAAGACTGGACGCTGTGCTTTTCGGTGGAGGACGCAGGTGGAATCTCATGCACTGGCATCTAAGTTCATTCTCGTCGAATGATGTAGTAGGGAGGGAAATGTTTGTTCTTGTCAAAGTCACTCTGGACAAACCGCTGACACTGACGGGGTGTTTACAACGTGGGGACCCTGTCCCAAGGCCTCGCCCACGTGCATTAAAAGTCCTCACGGCCACCGTGTGAGGTGGTAGGCACTGGCATCCCTCATGAGCCTGGCCAGCAGGTCCCCAGAGCCCTTAACTCTGCCTCCCCAATGGGCTCGGGCCAGGATTGGTGGATGCTGTGGCTTCATTCTAGCCAGACGCCCTCAGCTGGTGCTGTTTATCAGCAGCTACGCACAGTTCTCTCAGCCACAGCTTCGGGGCTGGGTTTAGATGGTCGAAATGCTTTTGTGAGCTCTGTTTATAACCATTTCACTTAGCGTCTCTCTCCTACCACTGCTGACTTGATTCCAGCCATCTGCCTGGAGACCTTGCCTGGCAGCTGCTGTCACTTCTCTTTGGGTGGACCCTCCTTTATTTAGTGGTCTTTTGGGTGAGCCTCAAGGGTCTGTAGGCCACGGGGATGAACTCGATCTAGCCCCTGGGTGGAAGGGCTGCAGCTGGGCCGAGACTTTGTTTTACGTTTGGCAGATCCGATGCTTCTTTCGCCGTGCGATGCCCATTCAGAGCCCAACTCCCCCAGCTTTCACGAGGGCACCTGTGTTGGGTTCACCCACACGGCTTTTGAATTCTAGGTCTATCAGAACATTGCAAAATAGGATGTCCACTCGATTCTGGAAAGAACTATAAAAGAGCAGTGAATTAGGGCAGGTAAGTATCATCCCAGTTGAACCACTGGCTTCCTGATGAACCTGGGTAAGGTAAAGTGGCTGGTCTTTATCTCTTCTGCATAAAGTAAGGACAGGGATACTTACTGAGATTCTGAGATTTTTCCGTCACAGAATTCGTAGTGGTGGATGTGCTTCAAAAATGAAAAATTCTTTAGTTTACGGTAGAATTTTCTGAAGCAAATTTCATCTTTATAAATGACAAAATCATGAATTAGTTGTATTCTGAATATGCCCCTTACTTTCCCGTCTTTGAGGCATTACTCACGCTATCATGACTAAGAACTAAAAAATACAGTTACATGGGATGAACCGCAGTGTCTCCACAAGTTCATAGGCCATGATCCCAGCTTTTTTCATCCTTCTGTTCCATTTTCTCAATGGGTATTCCCAGATGTTTCCATTTCTCCCAAATGCCATATTAACTCATCCATTCCTAGAATACTTCACTTTCACCTTTTTGGCAAAAAAGAGAGGTCACTATTTGTAAACATTTCACATTTATCTAATTCTGTACATTCTACAGTAGTGGTTTTCAGACTTGAGCATATATCAGAGTCTGCTGGTGGGCTCGTTAAAACTGACTGCTGGCCCCCAACCCTAGAGTTTCTGATTCAGTACTTCTGGAGTGGGGCCCAAGAATTTGAATTTCCGGTGAGTTCTCAGGTGATGTCGATGTTCTCAGGTAACTTCTCAGGTGATGGCTGAGGCACCACCTTTTGAAAGCCTCTGCCTTACAAACGTACCTGCAATCGCAACCACTAAAACCTCATTCTCGTCCGTATTTGTTGATCATGTCCAACTCATTCTGCTCAAGGTTAATCCTTCCATATATGCTTTAAATTCTACCCCTTCCACCTTTCTGTGACCTTCTTCCATCAATTACTGACTCTACTGGGGTTACCCAAGAAGGTAGATAACCCTGGAGGGGATTTCAAACACATCTGAGGATTTGGGTTCTCATGAAAAGGTGCAGGTGCTGGGAGCCTTTGCGTACAGCAGGCTTAGAGGACGGGGTTCTTGAGGTGAACTGAGAACTCAGTGATCAGCTGAGGCCAAAAGACCCCTCAGCTTATGGAGAGGCAGCATATGCCGTGAAAGTGCTGCGTGTCACCTCGGGAGGCGGAGGGCTCTGATCTCATGGATGCTGGCTGTCCTCGAAGAGAACTGCACAGCGGGGCTGAACTGGTCCTTTCTTTTTTGTGTGGTTGGTAAAAATGGTTTCCTGTTTACACCTGGAGAGCCCTGCGAACCCCAGACTTGAAGGTCTATACTCTGTGCCTCGGCAGTCAGTTGGAAGAGAATCTCTGGGGTCATCTGCCCCCGGCATCGCCTGCTTCCAGCCTGACCAGCATCAGAGGCTTGTACTAGCAACTCAAAGAGGGGACAAAAATCTCTAGGTAATAACAACAGAATTACAACAACCAACAACTCTCAACACTCAAGAGAGGAAGTAAGAAAAGTAACACACACCCCAAATTTCATTTAGATCTGGCAAAGCAAAAGGGGGACTAATTCGCGATCGAAGTAAAAGTATGAGGAAATGGAAAACCATGAGTCGAAAGACAGGAAATATGGAGAAAAGATTCAAGAGATCTATTTCCACCTGAATGATGGATGTTCCGGAAGAAGAAAAAACACATGGAAATAAAACCAGAATCCACTGATTACTAGAAGGAGAAGTCTATGAGCTGAAGAAAATGGAAGTTTTCAAATAGAATTGGCTTACCTGGTGCCAGATGATTAACGAAGGACAGGATACACAATTTGAGATTTATTTTTTTTTTATAAGATTCTTCACCAGGAGAACAGGTTCCATACAAAAGAAAGGGAATCAAATCAGTATGGGACTGCTTCTCTCTATAATGAAACTAAATAATAGCAAAGAAATGTTTCAGGTTTTTCAATGGAAAGGACTGGTAGTTAAAGGATCATTGCTATTTGAGTGCAAACGAAAGACATTTTGTACATTTAAGGGTACAGAAACTATAGCATCATGTATTCCGTCTGAGAAAGTTATTTTCAAAAATATTCTCACTAAATTGAAACCAAATCAGAACAAAGCCAGATAGGGGAAGATAGAGAACGGGAGGCAGACCGTCTGAGCAGGCTTCTTTAAGTGTAGGAATAAACCCAAATAACTGGTATTGATACGATTGTGAGTGGTTTAATGGTGAAGAAAAGTCTCTTGAAATAATAGGTGTGTCTTTGAATTAATTAGTATTGCTGCTTAATGGATTACTACAAGTCAGCGGCTTAAAACAACACCCTTTATTGCCTAGCAGGTTCGTTGGTCCCAGCCTGGCTTAATGGACTCCTCGCTCAAGGTCACACTGGAATTGAGATGTTGACTGGGCCGATTTGTCATATGAGGCTCGAATGGGGAAGGATCCACTTCCGTGTCCCCTAACACTGTTGGCAGAATTCATTTCCTTGTGACTGTAGGATTGGGGACAGCCTGCTTCTCGAAAGTCAGCAATTGTGAGAGAGAGCCTCTGACGTTCATGTGTCTGACTTTAAGAGAAGCCTGCATCTGCTTAAGGCCTCACCTGATTAGGTCAGGCCCACTTAAGATTAACTCAGAGTCAGCTAATTAGGGATCTTAGCTGCACTGTCAAAATGTCTTAACTTTTGCCATGTCCCATTGGTTAGAAACTCACGCTCAAGGGGAGGGAATTGCACAAGGGTGTGACTCAGTGGGGAGGGGAGCGGTCACTCTAGGGTGCGTTCGACATACCTCTTATTAAGGAAAAATTTAAATGACCACACTGACATTTTATATCATTTTAATGAAATCCATGAGTCGGAGGGGTTGGAGGTAGAAAGGACTGGAAGACATACAAGTTTGTTAAAGATCTCATCCCAGTGGGAGGACAAAGTGAGTATTTAATCTGGGTATACTCAGAGAGACATTTAAGTTTAGGTTTAGATTAAGGCTGCTGAAAACAGGAAGGTAAACCCTAGCAAAGCAGCAATAAATAATACACTTCTCAGCTAAGAGTGTTAGGGAAGGGGGGTGAGGTGGCGGTGGTCCAGAAGAAATTAAGAGGGGCAGAGAGGGCTAAATCATGCTCTTCAACCCAGAGGAAGAGTGCGGCGGGGGAGGGGAGAGGTCACAAGGTCTTGTGCCCTTCTCTCCTTGAAGAATGGGCATTCTCTCTCTCTTTGGAAGTGGTTCTCCCCAAATATATTTACGTATAGGATGTCCGTATAACCGTGGGGGACTATCAGATGGGCGGGCATCAATCCCTAACTAGCACTCACCTCTGGATTTAGAACTCAGATAGATGGTGTGCTGGGGAAAGGGTTTAACTTCTTATTTTACGTATGTGTTTTCTAAGTGGTGAATTTTACTGTTTTATGTTTAAAAAGGTCAATAAATGAATATAGCTTCCTAAAAAGAATGAGTATAATAGGGAGTCAGGCAAGTAGAGCTAAGAGCATTTTGAAAAAGAAAAGCAACGAGGGGGAACGTCTGCCAGATGTTAAAACCCGTGATAGTGTTCCATTTATTACATTCGCACGGTACAGGTGCTAGAATGGACAGCCGACCAACACCGAATAATGGCCCCGAAACCATTGTCTGTAATAATAACGTACGACTCAAAGAGAAATTGTTACGAATGGGAAGGGAATTGTTTTTGAATTAAATGGTGCTAGAAAAATTGGGCTGCTAAACAGAAAAAAAAAATATTCCTCCATTTCTAAATAAATTCTGTATGAATTAAAAAAACCACAACTCTGACTTTGAGTCCTCTTCCATTGAGAGCGTGTCCCTCGTTCTTCCTTCTTTTTCTA